TCCTGCCCAGCCTTCCTTTGGAGCCCCGGGGGACTGCAGAGGGTAGGATGAAGGGGGGCCACCCCCGGAGGTGGACTCAGGAACTTCGGTAGGTTATTTGCCTTCTGGAGGGCCAGGGGCCGGCACGCTTCCTACCAACCTAGACATCAGGTCTGGCCCAGCCACCCCTTCTCTGTGTTCACCTCGAACCCCAAAGCAGAAACCTTGGCCCTCGGCACTGAGCTGCGAGCTGAGGGCCCGGAGGGAGAGGGGCTGGGCTGCAGAATGTAGGCCGAGCCCCGCCACTGCAGCCTGCAGCAGCCCCTGCGCGTCCCGCCCTGGCTTCCTTCTTGGAATGGAAGGAGCAGTCAGCCTCCTTCGTGGGCCTGTGTTAAGGAGGCACGTGTGGTAAGCAGGGGCACAGTGGCTGGGACCGCTGCAGGTCGACCCGTGTGCGACTGGAGGGTTTCAGGCCTGGGTGTGTTTGGATGTGGGTGTGTTCACGTGCATGTAATGTCTTGGGCTTGGGGTCCAAGTCTGAACACAGAATGCATTTCCGTTTCATGTGTACACATATCCTAATTTTATATCATATTTTTCATAATCTTGTGCATAAAACAAAGTAGACACTGAACTACCGGGAAAGAAAGTAGAATTTTTATGTTGGAACGTAAAACATTTTGGATTTGGGAGCACTTTGGATTTTGGAGTAGGAATGCTCAACCTGCACGGCTGCTGCTACTGACACGTTTCACGTCACAGGCGTGCTTGCAAGCTGGACTTCATCACCCGCGGTGCTGGGGTGGGCTGCTGGGACAGGAGGGCCCTGGGAGCGAGCCACGGTGTCCAGGATGGAGAGCGGGACCTTTGTGCTAAGTCCTGCACTCGGTAAGGAAGACAGGCCTGGCCAGGCCAGTGCTCACTCACATCTTGCTCCGCTTCTCATCGTAGGACAGGATCCTGGTCACGTCCCAGTCCCCCGAGGTGATGGACTGGATGTTGTCGTTGCTGCTGTTGGGCTGGGACACACAGACAGGCGTTAGCTCGGCCCGGCTCGGCTCCCCCCGCTCCAGCCACCCCTGCTCTCCTGCCCGCTCCACTCCGGCCAGGCTCTCCTGGGCAGCTGCGCTGACCTCTGAACGCCAGTGGCAGGGACGGGCACGTGGCCATGTCTGCGGTGCTCATTGCCTGCTCTGCTCACCGGGCCCTCCCATGCGCATCTGCCTGGTCCTAGGCTGCCGCTGCCCGGCCTTCGTGCCTTGTGGAGTCGCCCCTCCAGGACAGGAGCACGGGGGAGGTGGCAGGCACCAAGGCAGCGGGAGGATGAAGGCAGACCAGCAGCTCTGGCTTTGCCAGCATGGACCAGGACCGGTCTCCAGTCAGGACTAATATGGGTGTGGTTGGCCAGGCAGCTGCTCTGGACAGGAGGGCCCCGATGGTGGGCTCTGAACCCAGAGAGGTCAGGTGACAGTCGAGGCACACGCCCTGGGGACCCTGGACGTGATGTCCTAGGGGAGGGAGAGCCTGAGAGGAGCTGCTGGGGACATGGGCAAAGGGTGCTGGCAGGAGGGTGCAGGAGGGTGCCAGGAGGGTACCAGGGGGGTGCCAGGAGGGTGCCAGGAGGCGGCGGCGGCCCCTGCAGCCCAGGTGACGAGGTAACCCCTGCACGTGCTGATCAGCTGGGTGTTTGGGCTGGGGTGGACGGAAAGCACAGGGACACATCTGTCCCGTGCCCCGGCAAGCAGCAGCAGCATCTGGGCCAGCGTGAGCTGCAGGGGTGGATGTGGAACTCGGACTCAGGCCATTGCTTGCCGAGTGCCTTGGGGATTGAACGTGTGAGCACCCGAGCCTCTGGCCACGCTGCTGCCACCACAGGGGCCACCGACTCAATACTCAGTCCTCGAAGGTCCTGGTGGGCTGCGGGGACATTCTTTCTGGAAGTCGCCTCCCGGGCCACTCATGCATGAGTGCCTCTATTCCTCGGCCATGCACTTCCGGCTCCTCCTGCTCACACTCTCCTCACCTACCCGCCCCAATGACAAGACCGCTCTGGAACTTGAAGGAGGAAGGGCTTTGGGAGGAGGAGTCCGAGGACAAGCCCTGCATCCCTCCCTCAGCACAGCGCTCCCAGGAGCTCATGCGTGCCGGGCGGGCTCCGTGCCAGGCTGTGCTCGCAGGAAGGCCGTGCAGCCCACACGAGTATCTGCAGGGCCTGCCCGGGGCCCTGGCCCTGCCCGCTGCCCAGCACCTGCAGGACACTTGGCAGCAGCCACACGAGAGCGGTGGGAGCACTCAGCCTACGTGGAGGGCTGGCCGAGGGCCCCCGGACACTGAGCCGGCCTGGGCAGGGGAGGGAGGAGGTGGAAGGGGGAGCCCCAGCAGACGGGAAGGAAGGGCATGGACAGGATGGGTCATCCGGGAGCTTGGCCTCAGGCCAGACACTGGCTACCAGAGCTCCTCTGCCGTCGCCCGGGGTGCCGTGCACGCTCCTGAGTGCTCTAAGGGAGAGGGGCTCGGCCTCCACCAGTCCGAACCCTGGATTTCTCAGGTCTGCGCTGAACCCGCCTCCGGGAAGGGACCTCGCCTTCCAATTTCCCACCTGGAGCACCTCAGGAGAAGCCTGCTCTGCCCCTAGAGGTGACAGCACCCCCGTGACAGGCTGGGGAGCCAGCGGGGCTTACCTGGGACGAGGACACGGTGATGTGGTAGAACTTCCCCCGCCCTCCCTGGGGGATCGCTCTCACAAAGAAGAACTTGCGGCCATCCTTGGAGAACAGCGGCTCTTCATTCTGGGGATGGAAGCACGGGCCAGTCAGCGGGGACTTCACGTCTCTGTGAAGAGGCCGAGCTGGGATAAAACACGCTCGGCCTTTTCGTGTGCAATCTCTAATGGGAGATGCAGTCAAGACAGGAGGGCCCGGTGGGGTCTTTCCTTCCTGGGCATCCAGAACTCGGTTTCTCTTTTTGTTTTTGAAGAGGTTTTCACTACATGGCGCATGTGCTCGCCAGACAGAGAGAGACAGAAAGCAAGAAATCACCCCCCATGGGGGGTGGTCACGCCGCAATCCCTTCTCCTCCATTCTCCTCTCGGGATCTTGGGCACGCACGCACACGCGCCCGGCGTGAGTCTTTGGTTCCTCTTTAACAAAACTAATCTCGCCCACCCGGAAGACAGGAGTGGGGAAGAAGAGGATGAAATGCAGGTGCTCTTGCTCCCACCATGCTAATGGTCACTGCTCGCTGCGACGGACCAGGCAGTCCGGTCACTGCCAGTGCATCTGTGTGGGCTTTCGGGTTCATGAAACGGAATGTCCTCTTCTAGGTGATATTAAAAATAAAGCCTTTCTCTCTCTCTCTCTCTCTCTCATTCTCTCTCTCTTTTTTCTCTTCTTTTTCTTTTGTTTTCTTTCTTTCTTTTTTCTTTTGTTTTCTTTCTTTCTCTCTTTCTTTCTTTCTTTCTTTCTTTCTTTCTTTCTTTCTTTCTTTCTTTCTTTCTTCTCTCCTTTCCTTTCTTTCCTCTTTCTTCTTTATTGTATTCTAAAACATAGACGAGAGGATCAGTCCCCAGAACTCTCGTTTAAAGCAAGCCTGCTTCGTCACAGCTCCCTGGGGAAGGGGCTCCAGGATGGTTGAACGCCTGAAGAATTTGCCACCATTTCTGTAGGGTGCCCCTGAATATCACCGGCTTGTCGTTCAGCACCAAGGCTGGCCGTCGCTTTGATGCGTGAAAAGAGATTTTGCTAAGGGGGCATCCAGCCTCTCCGAGGTTCAAGTTTGAGAGTTACTGCCTCCACGCACCAGTTGGCAGCTACGATGTGCATTTTCTGATTCCAGGAGCCCTCGCCGAGGCGGGGATGAGAACGAATGGTAGCCAGGCAGCAGCTGGCATGAGCTGGGCCCATTTCCCTGTTGTGAATGAGCACATGCAAATACTCTCTGCCCAGAGAAATAAACCATGGGATTAAAATGACATTTCATCTTCATGAATATTTGCAATGAAATGAAACCTTTAATCCGCAAATATTTACTTTTCTATTTAGAGTTGGAAGCATGGTATTTTAAAGGATGGCCTAGAAAGCCCAGTGGTTAATTTGGCTTTTAGACGTACTCCTATTTGCCAGCTGCGGGGCCGCTACAGCGAAAGCCCCTCCATTTTCCCGGGGAAATGTTTGCACTTTCGGCAGAGAAAAGGCCTCTGGATGAAGGTGGTAAATAGTCACTTCTGGGCAGAAGCACGGTCCGCACAGTGAGACAGCCCCAGCAGCTGTGCTGTGGCCTGCCTGGTCCCTGGACACGACCCGGGCATCCTGGCCTCCCGTCATGATGCGCTTGGCGATGAAGGCTGTGATTTCCGACTGCGGACCTGCATCTGTCTCCCGGCCTCTCTCCTTTGATTTGGGACGTCTCCGGTCTCTGGAGAACAGAGACCTGAGCCCACACTGCCTGGTCAGCTCTGCCAGGCCGGGCCACGCAGACCCAGCCCTCCGGACGGCCACGGCGCCTTTGGACACTGGAGTCACACTAGTGCCACTGGTTTTCGCTTGTTAATAGATGGTTGTTATTATTATTATTTATTAAACTGCTCTACATCATTTAGATTGTGAAGAGGCTTAGTCCAGCATGATTTCCTGGAGACAAAGTGGAGCGAGTGTGGGGAGAGCGTCAGAAAGGGAATTGGGGAGTGGAGAGGTAGACCCTGGGGGACACAGATAAGGTGTGCTCTGTGCTGATGGGCTGTAATAGTGCCACTTGTTTTTAAGGATTCTGGGCCTTTTTAATTTTCTACTGATACACTCGTCAGAGAGAGACAGAGACAGTGAGGGGGAAAGCGAGAAATGACCCTCCAGGAGGGTGCCACACCACAATCCATTTTCCTCTCAGGACCCTGGGTATGCACACACATGCGGGGTGACTTTTAAGCCGCCAGGTCTGAGACTCATACTGCGGCTGGCTACGTGGGAGTCCAACACCTTAACTACCACGCCACCTACTGTCCCGCATGTACGTCACTTCTGTCCAAACTCCAGACCAAACTGTGAAATATAAAATTCTGGTCAAAGGAGACAGGCAGAAATGGATGCATATGATTGGCCCTCAGTGGACTATGGGGTCTATCCCCTGAGGTCAGGGTTCAGCGCGGGGCGGGGGGGGGGAGCCCAGAATCCATAGTAGGACCAACGGCCTGGTCACAGCGGTGGGGATGGGGTAAGGGGTGGGGTAGGCGACTGCATTTCTCCGGAGGGTTCCTAGAGCGGAGTGACCTTGGTGGCCCCGTATGTATTTGCCGACGGGAATGTGTGGGCTCCAGGCAGAGGAAGGAGATGGGGAGAGGAGGGGAGGGAGATGGGGGCTCGGGAACAGGAGACAGGAGGCGGGTGGTCACAGAGACTGGGTCCCAGAGACCGTGGAGCTTTCCAGAGTCGGGCCAGTCCTGTGTCCCACCGGAGATGGAGAGGGGAGAGGTCCTGGCCTCCTGAGCCTCACTCTGCTGGCCCTCAGGCCTCAAGGGGAGCATCGAGCCGGATGGCAGCTGGCAGCCCCGAGCAGACGCAGGCCCAGAACTGGGTGAGCTCCTCCGTTCTGCCCTGCAGACTTCGAGAGGGCTGGAGGGACATGGGACTGCACGGATCATGTCTGAAAAACAGCCCGCAAACTCCTCGACGAGAGAAGGAGTGTCAGGAGAAACTGAAGCTGGACTTCATCCAGGGTCGCAGACCCCAGCTCAAGGTGGGGGGGCAATGAGGACAGGTGTGTGGCTCACGCCAGGCCTCCGAGACTGTGCACCTCTGCCATCCCATCCAGGAGGCTAAAGCACAAGGGACCAGCTAGGGAGCCCCCGCCCATGGAAGGGTTGGAGACTCCGAGTGGACACCTCTTCACATCCTGATCCCCTTTCCTGCCTCACAGTTAAGAAGCTGCTGGAGGGATCAGCAGATGGCGTAGTGGTTACGTTGTTGGAGTACCATACAGTTGACCATGGTTTGAGTCCTAGACCTGGTGGCTTGAAACACACGCTGGGCACTTGTGTGTGTGCCCGAAATCCTGAGAGGAGCGTGTAGGAGAAGGGATTGCGGTGTGGCCATCCCCCTGGGGGGCTGATTTCTCACTTTCTGTCTCTCTGGCAAGCACACATACCCTATAGCAAAAATCTCTCTTAAAAACAAAACAAAACAAAACCCCACTGGTCTAGCCTTGTAGCTGCCCCTCAGCCCCTCCCAAACAAGTACCAGGACTGCACGAGACCGAGGGCCCAGTCCCCACCGCTGCTCCATGTCACTGACCCTCCCAGCTCCAGGCTGGCCACTGCCTGCCGAAGCATCGGGCAGTTTCCCAGCGTGGTTTGGGGTCGTGCCTGTTGCCTGGTGCACACATTTCTCGTCTACACTGAGACGTCTTTGCAATCTGGAGCTCTGCTTCATTTAAGAGTTCACCGAGGTGAAATTCACATAGCATAAACCCCTTAATAAACATGAGCGGCTGAGCGGCGTTCACTACGAGTTCTACAATCGTCACCTGTCTAGTTTCAGAACATTTCTGTCACCCCAAAGCAAAGTCCCCCATTCATTACGTGGTTAACCTCTCTCCCTGGTCCCCGGCACCCACCAGTCAGCGTCCCGTTGCACGGCTTCTGCGTTCCGGGTAAGTTCACAGCCAGAACTGCACAGCAGGGGCCTTCGCGCCTGCGCCGTGCCCGTGCCCATGTCACACTCCAGCGGCACTGTTCATGATGGTCGAAACGTGGGAGCAACCCAAAGCCCATGCGGGTCCACGCACTGTCCTGTTTACACAGGGTGGACCCCACTCAGCCACGCGGGTCCTGACACGCAGTGGCATCTGCTTGGTGATAGGGGCTGACTCCGTTCTGAAACCCATGAAGTCTAGCGTGGCGCCTGGTGAGACCCTCACTGGGTGAGCACGTGACGAGGTAGGTGACAGGCTTTGAGAAAATGGCCTTTCCACCCCCGCCCTACATTCTGTCTGCTGTAAGGTGCGGCCGGAGTATCTCCGTTAGAATCCGTGCTCTCATGTCTGGTGCAGGGCACGCAGTGACTTCCCAGCGTGGAGACTGCAGGGTTCCGGAGCCACCGCTGGGCCATGGGGTCTTCTTGGCTTGGACTCGGCACTGGACTTGAACATGGGGAAGCAAAAGTGGCCATACCGAGCCGCCTCTTCTGGACGAGATCCTCCAGGGCAGACTTAAGAGTGATAGTGGCCACTGCAGAGCGGTCACCCGAGATAGTACCGGATGCCACAGGTCGCCAGTCCTGTGGATAGAAGGAGTGGCACGCAGAGTACTGGAATGTTCCGGGGAGCGGCGTGGCCCGTGCAGTCCAGCTGTGCTTATTTTCCACAGATAGAGTCCACCACATCAATAAAGAAGGGCATCTGTGCCTTCCTGAGACTCGAGTCTGGCTTGTTTTTCCCCCAGAATTCGAAGACGATTTTTTCACACTTGGTAGAATTAGAAGAAAGTAAACTCCTCAAACTTTCCTACCTTCTTTCTGTCAGAGTGTGGATCAAGACAAAAACTCCCACGAAAGAAAACACCAGCGCCGAGGGCTTTCGTTCTGTGCGGGCTTACGTGAGAATCATGTCGCCCAGCAGGCCTGTCTGGCTCCCTGCTCTCTTCCTGCCCTGGCTCCCGGAACCACCCGAGGTGCATGTTCTGCTCTGAGTTAGGGGTCCGATGTCCCGGGAACGTGCTCTGAGGTCGTGTCCCCGAGGGAGGCTCTTGTTGGCCTGCAGTGGCATCTACTGCGAACGAGAGGCTCACGAAGCCACCCCTGAGAGCGACGGGGACATCGGCCACACCGCATTTTCTTTGACCATACTTGATTACATCAAGGCGACTTCCATCAGCTCATCGATCTGAATGAACCAAACAGGTGTGGCCTAGCAGAGCCGAGTCTCCCCAAACACCCTATGTTCTGAAGAGCAGCGGTTCTCAAAGGACCCTCTCCGAGCACTAAGACCCTCAGGCTGTGCCTCAGGGGTTGCTGGGTCGGCAGCCCCCTACCCATTTCTCCTCGGACCTGCGGGATTCAGTCTGGGGGCTGCCAGCCTGAAGACCTCCCCAGGGTGCAGGCGAGGTGAGCAGCCCAGTGGGTGGTTAGTTACCTGTCTATGCAGCCAGGCTTCGCTTTCATCCTCGTGTTTCTGAAACGAGAGGAGAGCGTTAGAGGATCCCCTTGTACCCTGTCTGCCCGACAGCGTGGGAAACTACTCAGCCCCGGCAGGGCGGGGAACCAGCCGGCCCAGCCGCCCACAGTCTGCCCGCCCAGGAGGAGATCCAGGCTCTCTTACTGCTGTGGCTTAGAGCAAGGCAAGTGTCCTTGAACAAGGGCAAGTCAGTCCTGGGAGGGTTCTGGGAGGAGGTGGCTGCCCACCCACTGCAGTACCAACCTCAGGTATAACCCGTCCTAGCATTCATGTGCATACGTGTGAATAGCGTGTCAAAATCCCAGTTCGAACTCTGCGTAGCAACGCCGGGGGCCAAGCCCTTTGAGGGGGACTGAAGCACGGATGAGCGTGTGGAAAGGTACACACGTGAAACAGAACGAGCAGCGAGCAAGCCGTGGGTGCCCAGCACATAGAGCGACCGGAGGGCAGGGGCCACCCGGGCGTCCACGCTCCAGGCCAGGGCAGACACGGGGCGGCAAGCGTGTGCCCCCTTCCTCCACTTAGGCAGTCACCTGCCAGCTGAGGGCCAGTCCCAGTAACTAACCTGCGGCTCAGCTCAGACCCTACGCAGGCAGAGTCACAGCGGCCCTTGTGGGGAGTGAGCCCCTTACCCCACCGCCGCCACCTCCAGCCAGGGCCTGGACAACTCAGCTGCAGCCCTGCCAGAAATGAGCCGCCCAGGCCGAGCGCTGGTGGCACCCCGGGCTCCCTCGCTGAGCATCGTCAGCAAAGGAGGCGCAGGCTGTGGGGCAGCGAGCGCGGACCCGAGCGCACCCCAGAGCGCGCAGGGCCTGCCAGGCACAGGGGTACCCTCCCACCCTCGCCTTGGCTGGGCCGGGCCCTCGCGGCAGTACTTGAGTGGTCCGCAAGGTGGCGCCAAACCCAGCCGGCTGAACGCAGCGCTTACTGAGCGGTGCCACCTCAGATGTCCCTGCCCACGGTGACCTCTCCCCCATTACCTTCGTGCAGACCCCCGTGGTGGCGTCGCAGAGGGTGAGGATGGACACGTTCTGCGCCCGGTTCAGCCAGGTCACGGCGACCTTGGTGCTGGTGGCCCACTTCACCATGGTGATGTAGTGTTCCCTGCGGACAGGCGGACACGCAGTCAGCGGGCGACCGTCGGGAGGCGGCCCCGCCCGCCCGCACCCATGGCCAGAGTGCGGGTGCCGGGGGCCGCTGAGGTCGGGGGTGCTGTCGGGATTCTCAGCAGGAGAGCCCAGGGCTGAGGCAGTACCAAAGAGCAGGGGAGGTCACCAGCTGCCGGTCGCCCCCAGGGC